CAAGGGATATAAATACGACCTGTGCAGCACATCAGTAGCAGCAACATATTGGCATCGGGGAAAGATTTACCCGGATCTGAATCTGAAACGACAGCGCAGCACACCACTAGTAACAATATGTTGGCACCGCGGAAAACGTCATTCTTGAATATACTACCAGTGATGACCAAAATTCAGCATCAATCTGGGAGTAGATCCAGGAAAGACGCAGTTCCATGTAGATGCTCTTGAGTATCCTGACCAGTGTAGCTCCAAGCCGAGATGTAGGTGCAGAAGTCGTGGGCTTCTGGTCCAAGACTTCTGTAGATCCAGACACGATGTAAGTCCAGAACCCGGCATAAGATGCGAAAAAACGTCATTCCTGAATCTGTACCGGGTGATGACCCAAAATTCAGCATCAACGTGGGAGCAGATCCAGAAGTGCCGCAGCTCCGCGCAGATACTTCTGGGAGTCACAGTCAGTCTAGCTCTAAACCGAGATGTGGGTCCAGAAGTCGTGGGTTTCTGGTCCAGGAATTCTGTAAGTCCAGAACCCGGCACAAAATACGGAAAACGTCATTCCTGAATGTATACCCGGTGATGACCAAAATTGAGAATCAACCTGGGAATGCCGCAGCTATAAACCGAGATGTAGGTCCAGGATTTGCTGTAGGTTCACACGCGATGTAGGTCCAAGACCCGGCACAAGATACAGCAGTGGGACCGTCGTGGGCTTAGGGCACAAGAAATCACGCCACTTTCCTTCCCATATGGAGCCGAATGCTGCGGTGATATCAAGATCCCAGAACACACTGACCTGGATGAAAGGTGTCATTTTCGAATCTACTCCCGATGATGGCCAAAATTCTGCATCAATCAAAGCGTAGATCCGGAAACGCCACAATTCAGAATAGCCGAACCACAGCGCTGGCATTTAAAAGGATGGGAATGGGCCAGCGTTGACAAGAAAATTAATAGAGCGTACCTAGCACAACGTCGAGAGTCTCACGCAGTGTTTCTGCGCAACCACGTCTGTGCTGACGATCAGTGGCCTCAATTAGGAACAGTTTATGGGTTCCCGAACGGCTAGCGTCGATCTGACCTAGAGATAGTTTGGGATCCCCTAACCAGCGCACCTGACTTGGATTTGAACTCATGCCGTGTAGCAGGATGCTGGCGTACCGGAACATTGGACTAGGGGAATGTCACTGGTGGGAAGAAGTTCCGGTTATGAGCCCAATTCACCATCAACCGGTACGTCTGCCCAGAAGCGCCATAACCCGTGCCACTCCTCGATTGTTGTCCCAGTAAACGAAATCTGCGATGGAGAATTGGAACAAGCCACTGTCGACTCGGGGTCAAGGAAATGCTGAGGAAGATGCATAGTCGGAGAGGACTACCGTCCTGGACGAGTGCTGACGACTGAACTGACGTACAACACTCCGTCGATCACTTAAATAGTTTCGTTTGAGCGCCAGATCAGGAGATCCGCCCACAAAAAACCCCTCCTTTTTGTCCCATCCTCCGTTATCTCTTGTTGGGTAGGAGGTGTCCAGAGATATTGTGAGGACGAAGTAGCCAATCAAAAAAAAAAAAAAAAATGACACGTCGAAAACAACGATGATGAGCAACTTGTAAACAAATTTTGGCGGGAAGAGGTCAAGAAAGAATACAAGAAGGACAATGAAACTTCATTTGGATGAGCATCCCAGTGGTGCCAAGAGTTTCGCGAGGACTGTCCTGAAAAACACATTTCGAGCAGCTTGAGCAACCATAACAAGTTTTTCTGGATCTGAATATACCGGTTAGTGTTTCAGCGGGGATTTAATGAAAACACTGTGCGGTGGACAGTGTCCTTCCTAATATACACTCAATGATAAGCTGGCCTACTGCATCTACTTGGGCATAGATCCAGAAATGCAGTATTGTCTGCACTTGTTCATGGGCTTAGTGCGTCGAATAGTCGGTACATAGATTTTATCGAGGCACCAATGAGGACTAGTGGTGGCCATTCCGTGGTCCACATCAAAAGATAAATGCGAATTAGCAGAACAATGTCATCAGAATAAGCATCAAAATAAATGATCCGCATTTCAGTGCACTTTCCTCGGTAACACCGCTCCGTATACGACTTTATAGACCGAAACATTTTTTTTTCCAACTTTAAAATTTTTTATACTTTCAGACTAATTTATTTCACCTGTTCTTACCCCTTATTTTTTCCCTCTTTTTTTAATAACAATTTTACTAAAAATCGTATTGCCAAGGTGCGCTCACTGTGCTTTATAAACACTCTTGCATCAATGTTCCTGGGAAACTGAAAAGGGATAGAAGTAGCTATAAGCAGAAATAGTGATATAAATATGCTGCAA